TCATTTGGTGACAAACTATTACAGTTATAATTTAAGATATTAAGCATTTATTTAACATTCTATTATATTTTGCCTTGTTCAAAATTTCACAAGTTGCTCTTTTTCTTCTTCTTCCCGATACATTAATTCCATTCTTAAACTAAGAATTATTATTACTATTAAGCAAAGTAAATAGTATATCAAAGAGCAAACAGAAATGTTGAAAATTTGAAGATTTTTAAAGTTCGGTTCCATTTGTTCAAATCTACTACATTAAAACCCATTTCTGAACCGAAATTGTGCTTATAAAAAGCATTGTTAGTTAAAGAATTATAAAATTGGTAATCAAATATGTATTCATTAACATATAGTTTACATCGAATCATTCAACATCACCCGGTTATGATGGATATTATTTGACAGTAAAATGATTCAAATTAAATCATTTGTTGAAAATTTCAAATGACTTTCAGGTAATAAGCAATGCTTAAGTGAAAATAGCTAGTATTATTAATATTAACATGCATATTGTTTTTTCCTCTGAAAATATTTTCGAAGAAACTAGAAAGTGAAACGAATAGTATTTCAAGTAAGATGATAAATGTGCCTAAAATGTTGAAATATTTTGCAGCCTGTAGAGTTTTTTCATTTTGTTGAAAAAAATACAATATATCTTTTAAACCAGTATTTCAGCAAAAGTTTTGGTGTCAAAAAAACGACGCTAATAACCGGTGCTAAGAAAAAAAGGTATAAGAAATGATGAAAGTGAATTGGTGCTATCTCTTTACCTACTATTTTCCAAATTTTTTCATTCGGACATTTTCCTGTTGATTTAGAAAAAATGGCAAAAAAATTGAAAAAAAAGTTAAAAAATTGATTTTTATCATGAAATCATAGAAAATATCATTGAAGAAAATTTTTCACTTAAATTTTTCTTTCCGATTTTACACTAAATTTTATCAATTTAATTGTTTGATAATTTCCTCTTTTTTTTTAAAGGGATGATCTTTTTTAATTAAAAAAAAAGATAAAAACAAAAAGAAAGGTGAAAATAATTCCATATTGCAAAAGAAAAAAATTATTTCTGCCATTACATTAACCTAAATGATAATTTGCAACTTATTTGAAGGACGGTTTATCTTTAAATGTTTTATATTTTGACGGATTTAAATTCATGTTTTTTTTGCTGATAGTTTGCGAATAATTGGTTAGATCTCTATTAATTATCAGGTAATTCGATGACAATCATCACTAAATCATCTTATATATTATCCTAAATAAAAAATAGTAATATTGTATCAATTCAACAGCAGATATTAATTGACAAAAAATGAAAAATAATAGTATTTGGTATTATGTTGTATAAAGTGCATGAACTAAATGACATGAAAATTACTATTTTAATATTTTACTGAAGATATCGAATAGAGCAAGTAAATTGTTTGATTTTATATGATATTTAGGATGATGGTATCATAAAAGTGAATGACACACTTTTTCTTCATACTTAAGCTAATTAATGAATAACGATCAGGGTAAAAAAATATTCATATAGATTTGTTTAAAGAGCTATTGTTGCATTATAATATATTCTTACCTATCATTCACTTCACATTATCTTATTATTCAACAGCAGTTGTTCATTCTATCGATCTGTCTATTTTTCAACGTATCTTTCTATCCGTATTAAGGTATTGTTAATGATGATGCATATACTACCTGCTGACTGTTTCATCATATAACAGTGACCTTCTACTAAATCATCACCAGATGTAACAATATCTTATGTATTGAGATTTCTTTTCCCTTGATTATATTATTTTCAAATTGTGGAATATTTTTAGATTTTAGATTTTCTAATAAAACTTTTCAATTCATATTTTCTTCAAAACTCTTTTGTCTCTTTTCATTTTTCTAATTCAGCACTTATTTTTCATATTAATAATTATTATTCAACTAATAATACATTATTACTTTTTTCTTTTGTTTTTTCACTTTGTTTTTCATTTTTATGAAAAAAAAGAAGATATTAATTACATATTATGCTGAATTCATCTTTAATTTGTAATTTTTTTAACAAAAAATTAAAAGAAAATTTTAATTGCGAAAATAAATTGCTAAAATAATTTCAGATGAGAAATTTGCATTTTTGGTACCATCCGTGCAGGCAGCAATTTGCTTGTTATTTGCAGCGGTTTGTTCTGGTTCCTCACGTATCATTCATTATGCGGAAGATGCCCTTGTAAACGTTTTACGATGTGATCCGGTATGTTCGTTTTTTTTACTTACCTTTGATTAGAGTATACTATATTTTTTGTGAAGAGGTAACAAGTGAAGGATGATACATCGCATCTTATGAAACTGTATTTTTTTAATTTTTGAATTTTAAAATTTTAAAAAAACTTTGAGAATTTTCAAAATTTGTTATTAGAAGTATCTAACCTCGAATAACTTTGTTTTCTAGCAAATTTTGTACCCCTATATGAATACGGTGCATAATCTTGTAACGGGTTCCAATGGTGGTCATGAAAAACGAAATCCATCATCAAGCAGCCTAATTGCGCCACCTACATCTGAATCACCCCATACACCATCTTTAACTCCACCAAATGCACCAGCAGCAGCAATACCAGAAGTGTCATTATCGTTAGGATGCTCTCAGCGTACTTCTCCCGAAAGCAGTAACCAAGGTGTCGGTGATGATTCCGGTTTCATCAGTGGTTTCTCAAGTCCGGCAGCTATTTTAAGCACTAGCAAGGTTGATAGTTACTGATTGGTTTATTCAAATTTGAAGGAAAGCATAAATAGGAATAGGAAAAAGCATGGAATTTCGTCTCAGAATATGATTTTAATAGTTGCGGGAAATCTTAGAGTTTACAACTTGACGGTAAGAATTTCAATTTTGAGGATTTTATCTTTCACTATTGGTAACTACTATTCAATAACAAATTATTTCGCAGTTATTCCCTATTTTATTAGCAAATCCTTTACTGTTATATCGGTAGTTTTCAATGAAAAAATATTGGTGTTGCATTCATTGTAACATTAATTTCAGTAATATTAATTAGCAAAAAATTTCATTTCAATTCCGTGAACTATTTAATTTCAGAATTAAAATTAATTTTTTCTTTCTCCCTTTTTTCAGTTTGGAAATCACAACGTAGGTGGAAGTAAAGGAAATTCTTCGGCATATTCACGACGACGTTTGAGGCGTTCCATTAATGTTGCACATCTTACTTGTACCCATAGATCATATGAAAATATGGATAACGGTGTAATAGCATATTATCATGCTAGTGAAGATGATTTTCTCAGTTCATACTGAAATGATCGAAAATGAATGGGAAGAAAACGAAAAGAAGAAAATGAAGAAGGAAGTATTCTTGTAATGAAATTATGAACTCTTGTATTATCTATCTGTTTTCATATTAGGAAATTATGATTATTATTATCAAATCTCTTTGCTATCTTTTTTCATTAGCAAACAGACAGTGTGTATGTGTTTTACCTTCCTCTCCTATTTTTTAAAATATTATTCTTGTGATGGAAACTTTTGTAGCGGTTTTGTTTTCCCATTTAAATTAATCGTTTCTTTACTATACTATATAATATTGCAATTATAGAAAAAGAAAAGGGAAATGTGTATCCAATATTTACACCAAATTTGAAGTATTAATTTTTTCCCCCACTTTGCCATCCTCCTTTCTATTAAGGTTTTATCGGATTTTTTGTTCGATCAAAATTTTTCTTTTTTTTAAAACAATTTTTAAATTTTAAATTATTATTATGTTTGAGGTCTTGCTATCACTACTATTGATATTTTCAATCGTGGTCATCAATTCATTCATTCATTCAATCATTCATTTACCTACTCATTCATTTAATCATTTGTTTATTTGTCATCGTCGATTTCTTTACGATTTTTTTCAAATAAAATCCTAAACATTTCAACTTTTTGTTTTAACCTACAAATTGTATATCACTTCATCTTTTTTTAGCATTCCGTTCATTCTTCAATATGGTTTCTTCGTTTTTGCAACGTTCTTTTTTTACACCAAAACTTTTCTTTATCAGCAATTGAAATGATTGAATTTACATATAATATGTTCAATGTTTCTAATATATTTTAGGTTGATGAAATTTCAGTTCAACTCAAATTTGTCTTTCTGTTACTGTTTAATATGAAATATTTTATACCCCGGAAATCGTTAACAATGGGGAGAAGAAAAACCGTAGCGTTAAAAAATTTTTTCCTGTTTTTCTTTTGATATTGATCTACCTCGATATCTTCTTAAAATGATTAATTTACATGATCTGAATGAATATTCTTTTCTTGCCTACCTTTTTGACATAAACAAAACAGAATGGAGAATTTAGAAAAAGGATAGATTAATTAGAAATGTTCGTCTTAATTACTATTATGATTTCAGATTCCTGTACTCCTGGTTAGATTTGTTTGTGATATCAATAATCGTTTTATTTTTATTTTTCATGACGAAAGAAAAAGAGGGGATTGTTGCAAGATTCTTAAGTATTATCTGGCTGAGGCAACGAATAATATGATTATGTTGATTGATGGGTATCATTTATCTATCATATCACTATTATATTTTATCACCTTATATGTATTTGTATTTATATATGTTTATGGGTGTATGTGTGTGTGTGTGTGTGTATGTGTGTATGTGAATATCTCAATTGTGTATTTCTTTAGATACGCTTTATCAAATCACCTCAACAAAATTCTTTGATCTATGTAAATGTCTTCATGTTTCATGTAAATAAATTTGAAATTTTTTGAAGAAGTTTAGAAATCCACACCTTTTTATTTCCTCCAGTTCTACAAATCAATCTTTAGGATTCTCTATTTATCATCTTTCATGCTTTTTCCAATTTTCCATTATATCCTTTCCCCAATTTTCTCTTTTATCTCTATCCCTTTCTCCACCTACCACATTTTATTCTCTCTCTACTAATTGATCTGATAATTGCTACATTATCTCATTATGTTTATTTTTTTTTGATTTAGTCAAAATCATTCAATCAATCGATCGACCGATCGATCAATCAATCAATCAATCAATGATTAATTTTATTTGAATGCTTATTTTTTGAATTTGATTTTTCTTCTCCTTTTTCTATTCAAATTTTCACATTTTATTTTGATCAGACTGTTTTGATCATTTAATTTTTCTACCAAATTATCGATTTACATTTTAAAAAAATGTATTTTGGTTTTACTTTTTCGATAATTTCATATTTTCCTTTTTTGCTTTCTTTCCATCAAATCTTTCGTTTCCTTTTTTCTGTTCTTTACTGATTTATTTACTGTGACATAATGCAAATGTTTATTTTATTTTATTTTCAAATGAAATGAATCCATAGTAATATTTTATGTGTCATGCAACAAAGTATCACGCAAAATCCGTAGTAGTATTTTATGTATCATGAGGCAAGGTATCATGCAGAAATCCATAGTAATATTTTATATATTATGCGGCAAGGTATCATGCAGAAATCCATAGTAATATTTTATATATCATGCAACAAAGTATCATGCAGTAAGGTATTACGCAAAAATGCAAGAATGTTTTACAGAGAATTTTGCAATATTTATGAATTAATATATATATGATTACTAATTTTAACTTTTTTCGTTTCAACAATAAGTTGTAGACAATAGAAGTGGGATAATTCTGAATTTTTGCTTATTGAGGAAAAGGAATATTTTAGGTGTAAAATATGAAAAGAACCTAATTATCAAAATTTGATATCGTTTGTTATATTTGATGAATTATCATCACATAGCAACAGCAAACAAATTATTCTGCAGAAGAGAAGGAAAAAGAATGCAAATTGAAATTATGCTAATTTTGATCTTATTTTTCATTCACCATTTTATTTCAACAAAATATAGCTGATAATTGATGGAAGGAAAAAGAAGAGAACTTTGGTCATTTCAGGTGATGATTTTTTTACTTTACAGTGATCATTTTGAAAAATATAACTATGCCATTTATCAATGAATTTTGTGTATCATTTATTTCCTCTGATTAAAAGCCCATAATTTTTATTCGAAAATCTGAAGATGAATTGCGACAAATTTAAAATTTTTCTCTTCTCTGAAATTAATTTAGCTACTACAGTTTGAGTTTTGCGCATTGAATGATAGTAAAAATAGCGATGGTAGTTGATGATCGTTGGGAAAATTTTGAATTTTGTTCCACTTGTCAGACGGAAATCAAAGCAAAAATTAACGATGAAAGTTTAGAGGGAGTTTCAGGAAATTAAATGACTATTTGTTATAGCGATCAAGTTGGTCCGAAAATTTCGATAAATTGATTTGAGCTATTTCTCTTGCAAATGATCGATGATAGTTGAGAAAGACTGAAAATGAATGACCGATCAGTAAAATTGTTGGATCGGATAAGATGGTTGAGTAGTAGTTGTTAGTATGTGTCATTATCATCTATTCGAAACAAAAATTAACAATGCATCTTTTCTTCAAAATTTCTTCATCCTTTTTATCAATTAATTTCAAATAAATAAAATGTCTGAAATGAAACAAAAATTTTCAACGGAAAAAACTTCGAAAACTTCATAATCGATGATCGAAAAAAATGAAAGGTCAAAGAAGAGATGACCAAGAAGGCGATGAAATTTCAAAAAAAAACTGAAAGGTCAAAGAAGAGATGACCAAGAAGACGATGAAATTATTATGACATTCAAAAAATACACATTGATTGTTGTTCTAATCTTTTTCAAAAAAGTTTATTTCCACCTAATAATATAGATGCAAAAACTTGTAATATAAAACATTCTTTTGTTGTTGTTACCTGTTCCTGACAACAATCAAAACCTTAAAGCAAAAGATTTATTACACATATTGATGAACAGAAATACTTTACCTGTAGACCAATCAATAATAAATAAGTGATGCATTTAGAGTTTCAAAATTTACATAATTTGGAAATCATCATATTTATATCATTTGGAATATACATATATAAAATATTTACAGAAAGAATTATTTCATACAAATTAAAAAAGAAAAATTTATTAGCAAGAAAATCTACACGATTTGGGATCATCCATATTTTTATATCATTTGAAATATACGTATATAAAATATTTGCAGAATTATTTCGTACAAATTAAAAAAGAAAAATTTATTAAATTATTCTTGCTTTATAAGGATTTAATTATATATTCGTTAATAAATTATTTTTGCTTCATAAAGATTTAATTATATATTAATTAATAAATTATTCTTGAATATCATAAAGATTTCATTCATAAAAACATATAATACTACTACATATATGGAAAATATATATCAAAAATATATCGATGTATTTATATAACAAGAAATTAAATTTCAATCATTAAAAATAAAATTGACCAATTTTATTGAAAACCATTGCATTGACAAATAAATGAACTTGTTCGATTAGCAAATGCATACCATGATAAATCATAAATATTACCTTCACTAATTTCACCACCTAAAACTCGATGTGTATCAGTCATATTTGCGCCATCATATAAATCCAAATAACAATCTGGCCGTATTATTGCTAAAGTTATTTGATCGTTCCACTAAATGAAAAATGATGAGTGAGATTTTGTTGGATGAAATATTAAAATTAGCTTTTAGGATATTTTTTTTTTTTAAGATTTAAGATTTAACTTTTAAGATTTAAGACTTTTAAGCATTAAATCATTGAGTGATCTGAGAATTATTATTTTTGATTTGTGATTGCAATTTATAAAATCGATAAATGCTTCAAGGTGAATTTTGAAAAGTTTTCAAATTATTACAAAAATGGGATGTAATATAAAATTGCTAAGAAATTAATTTCAATTAATATAAATGAATAATAAAAGTCAAATAATTAGTAAAAGAAAAAAAAATAATAAAGCAATTAATTAATGATAACCAATTGATTGAGTTCCATTTCTTCCGAATCTTCAGTAACGGCAAAAAATGCATTCGAGCATTCATTATGGGTAAATAAAAATGCACATATTGGTGGTGGTATATCTCGGGAAATCGGACATGCAGCCAATAATATTCTGATAAATGCTATCAGGTAAAAACAATGAAGAATACTACAAGTTATCGTCCAACTTCCCATTTTCGTTCTCTATTAAATAAAAAGAGATATTTCATTCTGATAAAGTTTAAAGAAAGCTCATTAGCAAATCCTATTTTTAAATCAATCAATTCAAAATTTTTACAGTTAAAATTTCAACAATTTATTAGCAGAAATTTAAATTGGGAAATTAAATTAAGCGCAATAAACTATCAAAAGTTCATGGAGAAAATACAACAATTCCATTCATTTAATTAAAAGCTCATTTAATTAATTGAAATGATTGTTTTTTTGATGCTTTGCTTCAAAAATTTATTAATATAAATATATTGCATTTAATTTGTTTTCTCTATCTGAATTAGAAAACAAACCTTTGCGGATCGATCGGCTTATAATACGGAAACATTCGACAGATTTGTTTAATAATTCATTTGATTCTTTAATTGATTAATTAATTCATTTCATTTCGAAAGTAAATTGTCAACTGAAGAATAAAGGTTTATAGAGAAATGACAATTCAAAGAATAGCCTCAAAGTTAAGCTAACAAACATAAAAATGCCTAAGTCATTTTTGATAGTTTGAAGTTAGAATAAAGGAAACAAAATCAATTTATCAATTAGATGTTAAATCACTAATGGCTGCAATTAATGTAATTTTAATATAATTAATTTTAAATTAGATCACAATTTTAGCTGTTACATATTTTATATAAAAGAAATAAAATGACTGATAATTGATAAGATATAAGTGAAAACAAAGAAGAGTGAAAAATAAAAACAATTTGAAATTTGAAAGAATCAATAGAATAATGTATGAGTAGAGATGGAAAAGCAAATCATTCAGAATGCGATAGAAGCAAAAGTTATCAGCAAACTTTTTAAAATGATTAATTAGCCTTTTTTTTTAGGTGAAAGGTAACAAAAACAATTATACGAAATATTGAAAGAAAAAAAGCGAAGAATAGAAGAATGATAAATAAGAATCATTAATTAGAACATAAGTAAATATTAATTAAAATTCTTCTTTTAGCTGAAATTTCAACGATATATGAAATTTACTTTGAAATGGACTAATTCAGTTTAAATTGCAATTAAGTATAAATATGAATTTAATTTATGATTTTTATAATTTTATGCATATAAAGATATTTATTAACTATACCCATTCTGCCGTTATGTAAAAGAGTAAACAGAATTAAACTTAAAAAATGCCTATGAAAAAAAGATGAAATCAAAAACTTTGTAAAAGACTGATTTAATTGAAATGTTATACGAAATGAAATTTAATATCTCTCTCTCTCTCTCTTAATTAAACGCTATCAGTAATGTTTATTGTAAATTAATTAAATGAATAGAAAACAATAAATTAAAAATTTCCATTATTTAATTAGGAAGGAAAGTAATCTTTAAATTTGAATTGAAATGCAATTTAAAATGATATTTGACATTTTTATTCTTTAATTGAATTACATTCTGATCAAATTATAATATATATTCTTCATTATATCCTTATATTCTTTATTGACAGCACAGAGTAATAATAATGAATAAATTGTTAAATCTAATTAATTGGTAAATTTTTTAGTAATTAAAAAAATTTTCAATTTTTTTTGAATTTAAATTTA